GAGGTCAGTAGCCGGACGGTGAATTAGTTTGCCAAACCTTTGGCACTTGTCACATTTTTTCACCATCACCATCGCATCTGCTTCTAAAGTAGGCCAAAAGTAGCCCTGCCGCCTTGCCCGTTGAGCAAGCGTCCTACCTCCTATATGGGAAGCACAGTAACCAGAGTGAAGATCTTCTAGTATCTCTCGCCCCTTTTCTGGAGTAACACACTTTAAGAAGGGTTGAAGGTACCCCCTTTTGTGAAGTTCTCCCTTTATTATTTCAAAATTGGTTGCTCGTTTTTTCAGTGCTGCCGCCTGTTGATGATCATCTGGCAGGGTACCATTTGTCAGATATGCCCTGATTGGATCCATCCAGGTTGAGCTTCTGTCTAAGATTCCAATAGGTTCTTCCTTAATGCTTCTCCTCTCCATTACTTCCCAAAAAACAGTTCGAGGAGTATCACAGGAGGCGGATGATGCTAATTTTGAAAGTGCATCCGCCTGGTTGTTTTCTGATCTCGGCACTTGGGTCAGATGGAAATCCTCAAGGGAGCCGACTGCTTGTCGGACCGCCTGTAAATACTTGATCATGGCCGGATGGGTTGCTTCGTATTCGCCATTGTACTGACTCACTATCAATTGTGAATCGGAACAGGCGTCTATTTTTCTTGCCCCTGCCGCCTTGCACATGCGGATTCCGGCTAGTAAAGCTTCATATTCTGCCTCATTGTTTGAGGCCTGAAAACTGAAGCGTAGAGCATACTCGTACCTGTCGCCCTCTGGCGACTGACATATGACGCCTGCTCCACAACCATTTGAAGTAGAGCTTCCATCCACATATACCTTCCAGACTTGGTCTGGAACTTGAGAGTCAGGAGGACGAGTCATCTCAACAATAAAGTCAGCAAAGGCTTGCCCCTTCACTGCTTTTCTAGGCTCGAAAGTAACTTCGAGGCTCTGTATTTCTATGGCCCATTTGATCATTCGGCCTGACGACTCCATGATGGTCAGTGGCCGCTTGATAGGTTGGTCTGTATACACGACGACTGCATGTGCCAAAAAGTAGGGCTTCAATTTTTTAACAGCCATGAAGAGTGTAAGACCAAATTTCTCCACTAAGGGATACCTCAACTCGGCATTTTTCAGTACGTGACTGACAAAGTAGACCGGGAGCTGACAGCCGTCTCTTTCAGCAAGGAGAACAGCGCTTAACGCATGATCAGAGACGGCCAAGTACATGTAGAGTACTTCTTTGGGCAAAGGGCTGACCAGCCTCGGCAAGGAATGCAAGTGAACTTTCAATTTCTGGAAGGCCGTCTCAGCATCCGGCCCCCATTCAAACCTTGCCTTTTTCTTAATTGCCTGGAAAACGTATAGGCATTTGTCGCCTGATCGGCTTAAAAATCTTCCCAAGGCCGCCAGACAACCTGTTAACTTCTGAACCTCTCGGATGGTACGAGGCGACTGCATGTCCATGACCGCCTGCACCTTCTCAGGGTTCGCCTCTATTCCTCTCTGATTGATAAGGAATCCGAGAAATTTCCCAGACTCAACTCCAAAGACACATTTCTTGGGATTGAGCATGACATGGTGCCGCCTGAGTGTGGCGAAAGTTTCTCGGAGGTCCGACAGATGATCTTTCTGAAGTTTAGACTTGACAATCATATCATCAATATATGCCTCGACATTTCTCCCAATTTGATCAAAGAACACAGTGTTTATCATTCGCTGGAAAGTGGCTGGGGCATTCTTAAGACCAAACGGCATGACCGTGTAACAGTATAACCCCTGATCAGTGACGAAGGCCGTCTTTTCCTGATCTTTCTTCCATAAAGGAATTTGATGGAAACCAGAGTAGGCGTCCATAAAGCTCATCAAAGCATGGCCGGCCGTTGAGTCGACCAGGTTATCAATTTTAGGCAGAGGGTAACTGTCTTTGGGGCACGCCTTGTTTAAGTCTGTGTAGTCTACACACATTCGCCAGGTGCCATTCGGCTTTTTAACAAGCACCACATTTGCAACCCAGTCTGGGAAGTAACATTGCCGAATGAACCCTGCATCAAGTAATTTTTTAACTTCGGCGGCTGCCGCCTGACTTCTTTCTTCGCCATGGTTCCGCTTCTTCTGCCGTACCGGCTTCTTTTTCGGATCCACGGCCAGTTTATGTACCGCCAGATCAGGACTAATGCCTGGCATTTCATGGACTTCGAATGCAAAGATGTCCTTGTATTCTTTCAATAGTTTGTGAAAGTCGTCACCCAGGACTCTCAGAGCAGTCGTCCCAACTTTGACTGTTCACTCAGGACGTGAGTCGTCTAAGATCAAGTCCGTATGCTCACCAGCCGGCTGAGGGCGGAATTCATCCGACCGCTCCTCTGCCAATGATTGCTATTTTCTGTCTTTTCTTGCGGCCCCCGTCTGGGATGCCTTTCTCTTCTTGCCGCCTGCTTCTTGAACAGGCGCACTCTCCTTGACATTGTCAAGGTCTATTTTTCCACCACTCGACCCAGTGGCCATAACAGTGGGCTTGACATCCGAGAGATAGCACTCTCGGGCCATCCTCTGATCTCCCCTTAGTGAAGACAATCTCAGGAAATGAATATTTGGAGGGCCGTTCTTGGTGAACGGAATGTACATCTAACCGCCTGATATTGTCTTTGTTGCCCCTAATAGTGGGGCCGCCTCCTGAGAAGCCGCCTGCAATGGTGTAGACGACTGCATCATCTGTATCAGAGCTGTCGGCCTGTTGATTCTTTTTGGTCGACTGCTTTTTTGAGGAAGTGTTCCCCGTAGATTTCTTGACATAAGTGTCAAGATCACCTTACTCAGCCAGGTCCAGATACCGCATGAGACTGATGCATTCATTGGTGTGATGACCAACATCTTCATGATAAGCACATAATTTTTCTTGGTTCCGGTTGTTTGCAGAACCCTTCATGGGGACCGGCTTCTCAATTGAGATCCGTCCCTTGATTTCCTTTAGGATAAACTGGCTATCCTTGTTAAACGCATACTTTGGGGAGTATGGTTTGAATTCTTTTTTCTTTTTCTGGGCCGGCTGTTTAGAGGAATCAGCCGCCCAGACCTCTTTTCTCTTCTCGTCTTTGTTTGACGACTGTTTCTGTCGTCCTTCTCTTTTGTCGGACCTTCTCCCGTCTGACTGTTTTACCGTACTACAAAGATCAGTCGCCTGTATATAGGCTTCCGCTTCAATCAAGGCCTCTTGAAGAGTTGCCACCCTCTTTCGGACCAAATCAAATTTGAAGGACGACCCGTCTTTGAGACCTCTGAAAAAGTCAGTATAGGCTACTTCATCCGGTAACCCTTGAATCTGTATTCTCATCAGGTTAAACCGCCTGATGTAAGAACGAAGCCCCTCCTTCTCGCCCTGCTGAATTGTTCCTAAATCAAGGGTCGTCTTCTTCGCAGGGATGTTCATGGCGAAATTGGAGGTGAATAAGTAAGCAAGCGTCTTGAAGTTATTTACACAACCAGTAGGCAGGTTGCCGAACCATTGTTGTGCGATTCCTTTGAGAGTCGCTGGGAAACACTTGCACCAAGTGGGATCATCCAACCCTTGAAGATACATCAGGTTGGTGAATGCCATCAGATGGTCTTCTGGGTTAGTAGTGCCGTCATAGGCGCCTACTAATACATTTTTCACTTTGGCCGGCTGAGCGGCTTCAGTAATTTCCTTGGAGAAGGCCGACGGCTGTTCACCAAGTCTAAGCAACCGTAGCTGCAAGTCCATAGGTTGGACATTTTTTGCTGTTTGTCCACCAAACGGAGGTGGCTGTAAAAAATACTGTTGTTGCGGTACAAACGGTAAGTTTGGTACCGCCTGGTCGCTATGAAAGCCGGACTGGCGGGAGGTGCCGCCTGACTGACTCTCATGATACGATTGAGTATGCCTCATTGAGGTATTTCGCAGACTATCTTGGAAGTTTGAAGTAGAGGCCGACTCTGACAATCGGTCACTCTTCTTCTGCTCTAGCAGTAGCCGAGCGTCCGTGTATGTTTTCCTCGACCCGTCCGCCTGAATATGACGAACAGGTTTCCTAGTTCCTGGAGTAGGAAAACGGTATTTTGTGAAATCAAGGGCAGTCGGCTCCCGCTTCCTAGATTTAGGATGAGGAGTCGCCTCTCGCCCTTGAACTGGCTTCCTCTTCTGTGAAGTGGAGGGTTTCTTAGCCGACTGCTCCTTGTCCAGAGCAGGCAGCTTCTTGTTGATCAACTCTTGAATTTCTCCCTTGAAGTCCCTCATGAAGGTCATGAGTTCGTTCCATGTGATGGGAGCAGACCCATCAGTCGGCTGTTGCCGAACAGGCGGTGCGCCTGCTGGCTCACTTCCAGTTTGAAGATGTTCCCGTTCCCTCTTTTCGGTATGACGGGTACGTCGGGCCCTTAGGGTCCCGTCTGAAGCTGTGTGAGCTTCTACTTCAAATTCATTCTCAGTATCGTGGTCCGACTGAACTTGAGGGTCGTCTAGGGGACGCCTCTCTTCAGGAGTCGGTACAAACGTGGATGCCATCTCAGAAGTACTCTCCCCACTGACGGCGCCAAATGTTTCGGGGTTTTCTGATCTCCTGCGGGAGAGTTACAATTCCGAGACTGGAACCGGACGCCTGTACCTGCAAAACAACGGAGACTCCTGGTGGTGGGAGCTCCGCCTCCAACGGTTAAGTTAGTACTTGATTAAGGAGTAATTAATGCGGAAATTAAAGTGATTGGGTTTCTCTAGGTGAGAGTGTTTAATGTATGTAATCTGCTGTTTTAGCGTGATCAGCATGTAAATCATGTAATCTCCCTTAATGAGGATTAAGGGAGGTATTTATAACCTTGGGAAACGTGCCAATCCTAGGTTTAGGTTAACCTAGGGCTGATTGGGCTTCCCTCGGAAGTTGGGCCTGGGTGGCCGGTTTCTCCATTAGGCATGGAGTATGCCACGTGTCATGACATAATAGGTCCAAGGTGGACGAATAAGCGTGTGCCACGTGGCAAGCCCTGACAGTTCCAACTGGGGGACACTTGGCAGGACCTGATTGGCCCACGTGGCGCATTCCGATTGGTGGGAGCAAAATCCCCTAATCAGGTAGTACTTCTCGGAAGAAAGCACGAAAGTGCAACGGTATTGATCTGTTTAAAAAAACATTGTCATTTATACTGTATTGTGCTTTCTTTTTTGACCTGACTGATCTTTGGTTCTGCAATATATCAGCTTGTCCTAAGGCAACAATTGGTTTGCCACTGCCTCTAGGCCCTTTGACTTTGGGGCCTTCACATTATTGCAATCACTGTGGTGCCAAGAAATTTGCAACAGAAACTGTCAAATTTTGTTGTCGAGATGGAGAAATTGAGATTGCTGTTAATGAGTATCCCCCAGAACTTGTTCGTTTGCTTACATCTGAAGAAGAAGATGCTGTACATTTTAGAACATATGCTCGCTTGTATAATAATTTGTTCGCATTTAGTTCAATTGGAGGGAATTTTGATGCTAGCACTTACATAGGAATATATGTGTTTAAGTTGCATGGACAACTATATCACTTTTTACCTGATTTGCTACCTGGAGATGATACACCAAAATATTTGCAGTTATATTTTTATGATGGCCAGCAAGAAGCATCTAAGCGTTCAGGTTGTTTCCCAGAATTGCGAGAAGATATCATTGCTATTCTTATGCGTGTGTCGGAACTAAATCCATATGCTCGCTTTTTCCGATCTTTAAAGGGGATTGATGTTTCTGAAGATACACGGATTATTCTTAACCAGCACACTGTACGTGACCAGCGTGTTTACAATGCTCCCACAAGTGATGAAGTGGCTGTAACCTGGCCTGAGACGACATCATCAAGTGAGAGCTTTGGCCCTCACATTCTTGTTTATGGTAAATCTGCTACGTCTCATCGGATTTATCACCACTATGGATGTTATGACCCATTGCAATACCCACTACTTTTCCCATATGGAGAGTGTGGGTGGAATCAGGGCCTTAAGAAGAAGTCTTGTAATGGGCGTGGACAAGCTGCTGTCCAAACAGAACCAGTAATGACTTGTGCTGTGCAGAATGTTGATGATTTACTTCAACAAGAGGCTTCAAGTATGTATTTTTTAAGGAAATGTTGTTCAAATTTGGTATTTGATGATGTTTTTTTCCTTTTCCAATTTGTTTGCAGTAAATGTCTTCAATTAGATTATACTGAAATCATTCTCGAATTTGTTTTGGATGGCACCGTATTTTGTATACTTGATTAGGTAATTGAATTGTCTAATTGGTTATCAGTAGTGTTTGTTGAATTTGTGGCTGTTTATGTAACTACAGGAGCATCTAACAGACGGACTAGAGCAGATAATCTCATATCTCCAAGAGAGTACTATGCATACAAGCTGCAGATACGTACTAACAATATGTTGCTACGTGGTGGGAAGTGTTTTCAGCAATACATAGTTGATATGTATGTAAAGGTTGAAAATACCCGGCTTGATTTTTTCCGCAACAATCAAGATAGTATAAGAGCTGATTAATATCAAGGCATTCTGGATTCTGTACAGACTGGAGAAACTCTTGCATGCAATGTTGGAAAGAAGGTCATTTTGCCTCCAACATTTATTGGTGGGCCTCGTGATATGAAAAAAAGATATTTAAATGCAATGGCTTTGGTGCAGCGATATGGGAAACCAGATTTATTTATAACCATTACTTGCAATGCAAATTGGCCTGAAATTAAAAGTGAGTTGGCTCCTGGAGAAGTTGCTCAAGATCGTCCTGATATAGTTGCTCGGATTTTTCGTGCTAAATTATTGGCTCTTAAGAAAGAAATAATGGATAATATGATTTTTGGTGCTGTAGCTGCATTGATCTATGTTATAGAGTTTCAGAAGAGAGGCTTGCCACATGCACATTTTCTCATTATTCTTAAGGGTGAATCAAAACTCAAATGTCCAGCAGACTATGACAAGTTTGTTTGTGCTGAGATTCCTTCATTGGATAATCCATTGTTGCGGAAAATTGTGATTCGTCATATGATGCATGGCCCTTGTGGTTTGTTGAATCCAGAGTGTTCTTGTATGCGTAAAAATGGTAAGACGACATCATGTAAGTATGGCTACCCAAAACAATATTCAGGAGAAACAACTACTAATGATGAAGGGTATCCTACTTACAGGAGAAGAAACACCGGTGAGAGGTTAAAAGTAAGAGGCGCTATGCTTGACAACAGGTGGGTTATCCCATATAATCCATACCTTTCTCTGCTGTTTGATTGCCATGTTAATGTAGAAGTTTGTTCTACGATTAAAGCTGTTAAGTATCTGTATAAATATGTTTACAAGGGCCATGACAAGATATCGTATAATGTGGTACCTGCTGATGGAGATGTTGTTGATGAGATTCAACAATATCAGTCTGGGAGATGGGTTTCTCCATGTGAGGCTGCTTGGAGACTATTTGCATTTGATTTGTTTGAGATGCATCCTCCTGTGCTTCTTCTCCAAGTGCACTTACCTAACCAGCAGACACTTCACTTGCATTCACATGAACGATTAAATGCTGTTGTGGCGAATTCAAAGCGGCATCGAACTCAGCTAACTGAATTTTTTGCTATGAATGCTGCAGTTCCAGGAGGGCTTGGTTATCTATACAGTGAATTCTGTGAGCACTATACTTGGGATGCGTCTGGTAAAAAATGGAATAAACGTTCTATTGATAGATTTCAGGTTGGACGTTTGGCATTTGTTTTTCCCGCTGAAGGAGAGCGATTTTATTTAAGGTTGTTACTTCTGAACATCAGAAGTCCTACATCATTTGAATCTCTCAGAACTGTCAATGGTGTCTTATGCAAAATCTTCAAAGAAGCAGCTGTTAAGCTTGGTTTATTAGAGTAGGATGATTTACCAACTCTATGTATGGCAGAGGCTTGCGTAGTGCAAATGCCAGATGCATTAAGACGGCTTTTTGCAACGCTACTTGTTTTTGCTCAGTCAAGTGACCCCTGTACATTATGGTCTGCATTTTAATCCGACTTGTCTGAGGATTACAGGCACGAGTTCCCACATGACTCGGTTAAGGTTCTGAGATTGACTACAAGGTCAGTTGAGCAACATTTAGAAGCACTTGGTAAATCTCTTTCTGAATATGGATTAGACAACATGAATGAGGAACTTGATTCTGAGTTTCAACGGACCAAGGATATTGTAGATGCTTTGGATGCTCCTATTCCCGAAGAATGTTTACATTGTCGAGGGCAGTTAAATTCTGCACAACAAGCTGCATTTGATGATATCATGCAGCATGTTCATGAAAATAAGCCAGGAGCTTTTTTCATCGATGGGCCTGGTGGGACTGGTAAAACCCTTCTGTATAACGCTTTGTACGCAGAGATTCGTCTTATGCAAAATATTGTTTTGCCAACCGCTACATCTGGAATTGCAGCAGCCAACATCCCCTCAGGTCGCACAGCACACTCTAGGTTCAAAATCCCAATTGATTCAGAAGCATCACTAGCATGTTCAGTGCCAAAACAAGGTAGTTTGGCTGCGTTATTGAGAGAAACAACTTCGATTATTTGGGATGAAGCTTCGATGGCAAAAAAAGAAAATATCGAATCATTGGATTTGTTGCTGCAGGATTTATGTGAGTGTAAGTCTTTGTTTGGTGGCAAACTTGTGGTATTTGGTGGTGACTTTAGGCAGGTTTTGCCAATAGTACCACGGAAGACACAGCGAGAGGCAGTTGAAACGAGCATTGTTAGTTCATATCTATGGCCTAAGCTTAAGAAGTTTAGGCTAACGGAAAACATCAGAGCTAGAGAGGATCCTGATTATTGTTCTTTCTTGTTGGCTCTGGGAAATGGTGAGTTACAACAAGCAGAAGTAGGTTATGTGCCATTGCCTCAGGAAATTGTGCGGACTATATCTGTAAATGGTGATCCTGTGAAAGAACTTATAACTAGCACATTTCCAGAAATCGGCAGTAAGAGTTTTACCACGGAAATTTTTACTGAGCGTGCTATTCTTACTCCTACAAATGATGATGTTGATTCTATTAACACGTTTTTGATTAACTCTTTTCCTGGTAGTCCTTTTGTGTACAAAAGTTTTGACACCATTTTGGATGACATGTGCACTGTTTATCCTACTGAATTTCTTAATAAGCTGTGCCCTGGAGGAATGAGTCCTCATGAGCTTGTTCTTAAGAAAAATTGTCCTGTGATTTTGCTTAGAAACATTTTGCCATCTTCAGGTTTATGCAATGGTACAAGACTCATTTGCATGATCTTTTATCGAAATGTCATTGAGTGTCAAATAGCTGTTGGTCATTATAAAGGGAAGACTCATTTTATACATAGAGTTAATCTGAGGCCCTCGAATTCAGCAGGATATCCTTTCCAATTTGAGCGAAAACAGTTCCCTTTAAAGCTTAGTTTTGCTATGACAATTAACAAGTCACAAGGTCAGACTCTTAGTCAAGTAAGTGTGCATCTTCAGCGACCTTGTTTTTCTCATGGACAACTTTATGTGGCTTTGTCTCGTGCAAAAAAGGCAAGCAAAGTAAGTGTTCACACAGTGATTCCTCCTATACCATATGCAATTGGCCATACTAAAAATGTTGTCTCATATGATGTTTTGCGTTTGGCTGGCATAATTTTGGGACGGTAATTTATAGTGGCTGGTATATAATTTCTTGCTTAATCACTTAGAATGTTTTGGACAAATGTCTGTTGGCAAGAGAATCATTAATGAGCTTGTTTTGTGTTATAATTATTGGATTGATTAAGTGAGTTCATTAGTTGATGAAGCAAGTTTTTTTAAAGAATTGATTGTCGAAGAAATGTTTTCCAGTTTTGAAACAAACTGTGATTTATTTAGAATTAGTTAGACAGAATAATGGTTAGTTGTTTTAAATTTCATTTTATGAGTATCTATGCCTTTCTTGATTGTTCGCTTTTGTATGTTGTAGTTTAGGAACTAAACAATTGTGTTTTTTGCACCACTGTTCGATCTTTTCCTCTTTTTGAGTTGTAAGTTCCTATTTGTTGATGGAATAGCTGCAGCTACTATGTTTGTGTATTTGGGGTTATCGCGGGATTTGTTTAGACAAGCTTTACTCGACAAAAAGACCTCTTTCGCCTTAAAACTTAAAGGCACTGTGTTTTATAGTTTCGCTAACCTACATTTGATGTCTTAATAAAGGGAAAAAACGTAATAATAGTTGTATATTTAAAATTCTAGCTAATTACATTCCTTTACATTTAGACTTAGATTTGGGTTAGTATAATAAGTGGGCTAAGTAAAGGGAAACAATATCGTGCTGACAAGTGTTTTTTTGTAACCTTAGTAAGTAAAATAGTACAAATAGTACATGAGAAATCTAAATGGCCATTCCTGTTAACTTGTAAGATCCTGTAAAATGGATGCTTCCTTGCAGCAGTATAGGAGTAAGCTTACTCTTGCTAGCAACTAATAGTGTAGTCTATTATGTCATTTCTGTAACAGTAGCTCTCTGTAGTTATTACCTACTACTGCATTAAACGACAAATAATTTCCCTATATATAAATATCCAAGTTCCTTACAGTAAATTGATGCTTCTTTGCAAAAAGTGATTACTCTTCTAAAAGGTGCTTGCTGTTGTAAAAGGTATGAAACTCTCAAAATTCTTGGATCTTTTTTCTGTTTTTCCCCTTTTCCATTCGTGTGCTACTATTGTTTTGTCGAAATTATTCTTCTAGAAAGGTTTGAATTTACTATTTTTGTTTTCCTACTATGTCTGTCAACACTAAAATATTGCTAGATTCTACATATGATATAAGTACCAGGTATATTGAGATTCATAGTAAAAGTGTTTTTTTCTTTGAAGGTCTTGTCATGGGTGTATAATTTATGTATTTTATTGTTGCTAGGAATTTTCTTAGAATGCATAAATTCAGAAATTTTAATTAAATAGGCCACTGCTTTAAACTCAATTTATAATTTAATATACAAATTTGTAGAGTTTTAGTTATTATGTACCTTTGTCTCATAATTTTCTACATTGTACACACTCTGTATTTGCTAATGTTGCCTAATTTATGATGTTAATGTTCAGGAGTCTTACAGAGATGGAGCCTCCATGTATGTGTTTGGAAGAGTTAACTCCAGAAACTAAATTCTACAAGATAAATGTGATAGTAGCTCATAAAGGGAGGCCTCAAGTGGATCGGAAAAAAAGAATTGTGTTCCAAAATTTTATTTTGGAGGATGCTAAGGTAAGCAGTGTTTGTAAATTATATTTATTGAATTTTACATCATTATATATAAAATTTTAAAACATAATCTATTTGTGTGCAATATTAGTTTAGGCCACTTTTCAGGTTAAAACACTACACTGAATAAAGATTTTAACTTGATGCCTTATAATTATTAAATGGATTATTTAGCCCTTCCACCTTTTAATTTAAATTTCGAAAATATATAGTGTAATTGGATTGCTGATTTGTGTAGTATGTGTGTACCTTTTGTCTTATATAAGAACAATATTTTATTATAGTATTAATTGATGTGATTTAGATTACTATAGATACATAAATAAGGAGCATTGTTAAAAATTTTGTGAAATTTCGCTAGAATGGCAGGTGCTGTATATCATATTATACAATAGAATGAAACTCTGTGAATAAGCTATCTGGTAATATTATATATATGATTTTTGTTATAAAATGATTTGATTAATTTGCTATGTTAATAGCTAATTTAAGTTTCACGCATTGTTTTTTTATAATTATTGTTTAATTGGGGTTTAATAGAACAACAAAATCCGTTGCACTTTGTTTGGGGGAGATCAAGTGGAGGCCTTTGAAGATATAATAGAGCTTAAAGGCCAATACGAAATTACCAATGGTCCTTTAAATGTGTTAGAGGAGCCATGGGACAGCAACTATGGTGAGTTGCCGTTGCAGCTAACTATTGATCAGGGAACTACTGTACGGTGACTAGATGCAGCGGGTGGTCAAGTTCTGCCAAATTATCAACCGCTTGGGGATATTCCACGCGACATTGATGCTGTTGGAAAATATGGTTTTTCCTTGCTTCTTGATTCAATTGTAGTTCTGGTTAAAAGCTTATTCTTTATGAATTAATTTTTTCTGGTGTTTGTTATTAGATGTTGTTGCTGTGGTCTTATTTGTTGAAGAGCAGCCTCGCGAAATTATTTCTTCGAATGGCAGACGGAACTATGTTCGTGAGATAGTTATTATTGATCAGAGGTTTGTTGCATTTTCACTAATCTTTTGTCCTGCATCAAGATGTTAGTCTGAGTTAGTTAGCTTTTTAATCTGTTATTTCGCCAATGTATGCAGCAATGTGCAACCTGTTACAGTCTCTGTCTGGAATGAACTAACAGAAGGAGATTGTGAACAATTGCGCAATTGGGCTGGAACATTCCAAGTTGTAGGATTTACATCACTGAGGCCTGTTACTCGAAGAGGTGATTTTACATTGCAGTTATATTTCGTGTGTTTACGATATTATGATCAACAACTTTGCTTGTATAAAAAATTGTATTTTGCAGGTTTTTCACTGACATCTGGAATGTCTACAAGGATCATCCATAATCCTAAGGGTGATAGAGCTAATGTCCTTCGGGAATGGTAAAGCACTAATAATTGTTACTGGAAAATTAGGTTTAACTAAATTTATTAGTAACTGAACTGTTTGTTACTTTACTCAGGGCATATTTATATATGACTATGCTCATGGATAAACAAGCTAGAGTTCTTCAAGTGAAATATCCATCTAACAACAAATTGCTTTTAACAATTGCTGAGGTTGGACTTAAAAAGGTGGTTATCCTTGTACACTTGTGTTTCTGACCTTTTTAAAATGCTTTGTATGTGTATAATACAGCTGTTTAATACTGGGTACTTTCCGTAGGCATGCAATGCTGTGCAAGACGAGCGTTTTTGGTTAAGAGTGACAATTCCTTATCCTAGCTTAGATAAGCTTCATACATATGTAGGTTGCAACACTTGCTCAGCTCCCTGTGACATTCCAGGTGGAGCACATTACCAATGTTCAATCTGTAAAAAAATTGATCGCACAGCATCTTACAGGTATATATGTGTAATGGTAGGATATTAGATTTAATAATTTAGTAAGATTGTAATTATTAAAAATCAGATTTTGACTTCCGAATCATATAATATTAAGCTAGCATATGCTGTGCTAAATGAAGGTCTTTTTGGTATTAGTGGTTATCATTTTGGTGTGGGTAATTTACAGGTTAATAAAGGCTTACGATCTTTTTCAAAGTAATGTCTAATTGTATTAGTTGTATTTGATTAATAGGGTCTATTTTGAGTTCGAAGCTGCAGATGGAACAGGGACCATGTCATTTACAGCCTTAAACGATGACACTGAAAAGCTATTTGGAATGACTGCTTCAGAAATTAATTCTTGTAAAACCACTGTAAGTGTAAGCATTATTCTGTTTTATTATTTTAGCTGATGTTGTTTTGCTAAGGTAAATTTTTATACCGAAAAGTTAGTAAAAATGTTACTGATTATTCAACTGAATAAATTGAGGTTTTATTACTTAAGTCACAGGTGTTCTAAATTTCACATTATTCTGTACACTTAAATCCATTTGATAGAGCCATTATAATTTGTCAAGCATTTTTTTTTTCCTTACTTTCATTTGCATCTCTTCAGAAGAGTACGTGGAACAATTATTTAGTTCTTGTTTAGTCTCAGACGAGTTTAATAACATATATATGTATACATTTATTTTCTAAATCTAATAAATAAAAGTTGTTACTTGATAGGGAAATCTGGCAGTAGCCGACCACATACAATTTTTGGTTGAGACCAAATCAGTGCTGATCAAAATAGGGCCAACTACAGAGTTGTCACGGTATAATGTATTAAACTGGCAAGTTAAAGGTCTGGAGGTTGAAAGAACAACACCGGATTCCATTGTGAAAGCCACATTAAAGAAGTTAGATGAAGAGCTCAATGATCTACTTGACAGGTCTGAAGAAATCAAGTATTCAGACAACAACGAGCTTACTGTGTTCTACTCTGAAGATGCAGCTTTTGCATCTGTGGCATCAGTTGCCCAGCCTACATTATTTAGTAGATATTTTGGTGTTCACATGTCTTTCCCAGAACATGAAACAAAAGGAGAACACTCTGGTGCCTCTACAAATATTGCTCTCGAGGAAGAAGATAACAAGATGGGTGTTGCTACTCCTCATAAGTGAAAAGCAACTGTTGGTGGTACCTTTATACCAAATCTTGATCAACCTTGAAGTATTTTGGTTTTTGCAATGGTGCCTTTTGGTTAAATAGAGTAGACAAGTATGCAGCATTAGTACAAACACTTTTTATGCAGCTGTTTTATTAGCCTTTTGCTTTTTGTTGGAGTCTGTGAGAATTCTAATATTATGATTCTCGTTTATGTGCTTGGGGGTGTTTTTAAAAAGCGTATACATTGAGATGCGTTTTAATCAAACATCCTTGTATAAAACGTTAATTAAATCTTTTGAGGTGTTCAAAAAGAATATAAACTTAAGGGTGTGTACCTAAGAAACGCTTGTTGTATTTTTATTGTTATATATGCAGTTTCCTTTGATCATTATGTATTTTGAAACTTGATTTGTCACGATATATGTTTTAATGACATTTATGTCTTGAGTTATGAAGATATTTTGTAAATTTAGAGTCTATTAAATTAGTTCAACCGCTAACATAATTGCATTAGATTATAATGTGAATATCGATATAAGCATTTGAAACTTACAATGAAGGTGAGAAGATTATTTTATTAGTTATTATAATAGAAAAATAAGCTCTTAGAATATTTGTCAATCGAAAATCTAAACATAATGAACAATTAAAATCAAAATTGTAATAAATATTAGCATTATTTAATTTAATAAAAAGTTAAGCTACCATTTACATGTTATAAAATGCAATGAACTATAAATTTTTGAATTTGTGTATATAAGTATTTTAACTTTCACCAAAACATGTAGAAAGCAACTTTTGCAACTTATAAAGTGCCTTTGGATAATAATTGATCTCTAATATAGTAAAGTAGTGACAAAATAATTAATTAAAACTCGACTAAGAGGGGTAAACTTATGTATTATTGATTAGAGTTATTTTTATATTGAATGGGTTTTTTTGTGGGTTTGAGCTGGTAGTGGGGGTAGTTAAACTGTACATTGTAAATACTATTACTTAAATTAGTGAAAGATCACAAGTCATAACCTTTGAACATATTTTGGAAAGTAAAGAAAAATAACATTCATAATGATAGTTGTAATAGTACAAAGTATAAGTTATGTCAATTGAAGAGTAGTCACTTCCCTTGCCATACTTTGATATTTATTGTACCATAACTAAAGTACCAAAGGTCCTTTATTGAAGATGGGAAAATTATATTATTAGTTATTCTAATAGAAAAATAAGTTGTTAGAATATTTCTCAACCGAAAATTTAAACATAATGAACAGTTCCAATCAAAATTGTAATAAATGTTAGCATTTTTAAATTAAATAAAAAGTTTGAGTACCATTTACATATTATAAAATGCAATGAACTATAATTTTATGAATTTGTGTATATAAGCATTTAAATTTTCACCAAAACATGTAGAAAGCAACTGTTGCAACTTAAAGTGACATAGGATTATAATTGATCTCTAATATACTATCTTCGTTTCTTTTTAGTTGACACGTATTCCTTTTTAGGAAGTTTCTTTTTAGTTGACACGTTTCCTTTTTGGGTAAATTTGTTATCTTGCATTTACAAGCTACCTTACTTGCTTTTTCATTCTCTATTACTTTCTCTCTTCTCCTTAGTGATAAAACAATTAATTAAAACTCAATTAAGAGGAGTAAACTTATGTATTGTTGGTTAAAGTTATTTTATTACAAATTCTTAAATGGACCTGGTTCACACTAATTTATTGTGGACCACTAACATTAGAGAAAGTATGATTGTTTTATTTATAAAAAAAAAGGGTCACTATAATTAAAAAAAAAAAGGTCACTATATTGAAATAAAAATCATTTTGGTAATATATAGGCCTAAGTGGTTATTTTTGTAATGAAATATTTTATGTACTGATCAATATGAATAATAAAGGCCACTATGTTAAAATTAGGGTAATAGCGTCGTATTTCAAGTTCACAATATTATTAAACGTTGTAGTAGTTTTAATAAAGGTTACTAGATTAAAAATAAGGTTACTATGTTGAAAATAATGGTCACTATGTTCAATATAAAGTCAGTTGCGTGTGTATAGACCTCGGGTTCACAATAATATTATTGTGGACCAGGTCCACACAAGTCTTTTTGTTTTAATATTGGATGGGTTTTTGTGTAGGCATGAGGTGGTAGTGGGGGTAGTTAAATTGTACTTTGTAAGTACTATTACTTAAATTAGCGAAATATCACAACCTCTGAAAAATTACATTCATAATGATAGTTGTAATAGTACAAAGTACAAGTTATGTCAATTAAAGAATAGTCAATTTCCTTGCCATACTTTGATTTTGGTTGTACTAATAATTAAAGTACCAAAGGTCCTTTTTTTACTTCTCATTGAAGCAAAAATATTTCTATAGCTAAGAAATTGTCTCAAAAAAACAAAAACAGGGAGCCTTTATTTGATAAAAAATCATTTATTTTAATAAAGCTATTTACATGTGATAATTTACTTATCTATTTTCATTTACAAGATGTTTAATATGTTAAATTATATATTATAATTAAGAAAGGGAAAAAAAAGGATTTACATTCTTTTCCTCAAAATTCCCTATTTTGTTATAGATTTAATATAGTATCATTCTACCGTTGCTTTATTTTAATATTAGTATGATTTTCTTTCCTTTTTTGGGTTTTTCCCAAAAAAACAAATAGTATAATTTAATAATATATATATATATATATATATATATATATATATATATATATTTTTAAGACTGCCTATTGCGATAACAAAGTACATGACCTTACTCATTTCAATTCAAAAATCATACAAATCACTATTCCTGAATTGCCTATAACTTGTAAGTAAGGTATTAATTTTCCTTGTTTTTAGGAAAGTAACTTTGCTTAAGCAAGTAATTAATAATGTTAAAGTGGAGAGTAGTTATGAACTATCAATCAATCGAGAGTATGGTTCTGAGTTGTCCTAAGTGGTAGGATTGAGTGTGTAGGTTATGATCCTAAGATTACTAGATCTTACTTCCCTGTTCTATAAATATAGCTTTTGAATAAATGCAACACCCTATTTTACTCTATCTACTGCAAGAACTAAAGGTACACATCTTCTTAACTGCTAAGCTTCTCTCGTTTTATTACTTGTAAGTTTTGTTAATTAATTCTTTTGATTTTGTTCATTGCTATTAATCTTACTGCATTCAATACTTCTTACAAATGTATACTTTTTGTGATTCTGTTCTTTTTGTGATGTGATGAATTCAGAATGAAAGTTGTTAATTCTTTTCCATTAATTATAATAAGTACATCGTATTCAATGCTCAGAATCTTCGTGTTTTGGTTCTTTATGTGTGATAAATGTAGCTTCGGACTGGATTATTCCCGTTGATAGTAATAAATATGGTGTACTGCATTTGGTTTGTTGTATTTGTACTAGAAAGTATAAATAAATTTGATGCAGAATCTGTTAGTTATGTATTAAATTTGCAGTAAAAATACATGCTTATGGTCAGTGAATCACTAACCCAAAAAAAAAAAAAAATGCTTGTGTAGTTTAATTTGATTATCAATACTGTTGTTTGACTATACTGTAGACTAATTAGAAATGCATTTTGTATATTTTCTTGCATATATTTTCAAATAATATCTTAGTATTCTTATAACTTAGCTTGCACTCTTTATTCAATATCATCCTTTAAAAAGTACTGTATATGATGCTAATTAGATATTTTACATGCATAAAATTATGCTGATACTCTGAAGTGTTGGTGTAAAAAGCATATTACATTTCTCTGACTAATAAGATAAGTTATAAAAATGCTGAGATATTATTTACAGAAGAGTTTTACTAATAATATCTAATTATCTAATATCTTTAAAATGTACGTAGATAACTTGACAGCAGCAATCATGAAGTTGGAAAACATGACACTAGATGAGCTTAGTCCACAAGAAAAATCTTACAAGGTCAAGGTCACTGTTATTAAGAAGGGTAGGCCTACTACTTCACCTAAGAAAGGAGTCAGATTCCAAACTTTCTATCTTGCTGATGATAAGGTACATTGATTCAAACTTGTATTAGTTTGTTCAGGTTCTGTTGCTGCTTGTAGCCCTCAGATTTTCAGTGGTGTTTGTTTCCATATTGATGTTTAAGATTTAAACATATGCACTTGATCCTAAATAGCATATTAGGTCTTTATAATGGACTAAAGAAAAATATTATTGTATTTATTGTACTTTCTTTACGTTCTTGTAATAATGCTTAACTTTATGCTTTAATTTTAACTACAAATAATGAAAGCAGCATTCAAAAGTATTCAAAAAACCAACTACAATATTTTGACCTGTTCCTAATATTGTGATTTTTCAATATGTTGTTTGCTAATATAGTTCTCTGCTTGTCAGATATAATTACAATGACTAGGCCATGCATAAATTTCTACCTGTATTTTGATTAAATCCTTCTTATTTATCTTTAGGTTTACATATGTGAAAATGAAAATTGTCAAAACTAACTATTACTAAACCTGTTAATAGTCTAGCTTTGTATTCTTATTTGTTTTTCTTCTGCATATTATATAGGTTCTGTAAGTACATCAAAATCATGTCTTAAATTTATAGGGCAAGAATTGATTAACATATGTGCATAATTGGAATTTGACCCTTTCCATACTTATTTACTTTTGGTGAAATTATTAACACAGAACAATAAAATGCGCTGTACCTTGTTTGGGGAACAAGTTGAAGGTTTCGAACATGTCATAGAGCACAAAGGACAGTATGAAATCTCCAATGCTCCTATAGCTTTTGTGGAGGACCATTATAAGACTTATCCAGATGAACTCTCTCTACAGATGACTTTTGATCAGCGAACTGTTATACAGCGATTAGATCCTGAAGCTGGACCTGTTGTGCCTAGCTACTAGCCACTTGGTTCCATTCCGCGTGCTATAGATGCAGGGCAAATATGGTAACAACTTTCTCATAAAATGCATCCTTATAATTCACTATTACAACATGCTTATTGTCTAAGTTACCTATTATATTGGATTTCAATCAGATGTTGTTGCTGTGGTGCTATTTGTTGAAGAACATTCACTTGAGATTATTTCTCAGACTGGAAGGAAGAATTATGTTCGTGAGATAGTAATTACTGATCAGAGGTTCGCATAAAACATCACTTTAATTTTTATTGTTGTTCAAACATTGAACATAGATGCAAAGTTTTATATAATTTTTTATATTTGTGTTGTTTTTACAGCAATGAACAGCCCGTAACAGTCTCTGTCTGGAATGACCTGAGTGAGCATGATTGTGATCGTTTAAACAATTGGGCAGCGAAATTTCAAGTTGTGGGATTTACATCTCTAAGGACTGTCACTCGTAGAGGTTACTCCTATT